TTCCACCCGCGGCGGTGAGCCCCTGGAGGCAGAGGTTGAGGCCGGGAGTGGAGTGGTTTCTTCTTGGGGTTGCTTTCGCTTCGGTTTCTGTGAAAAAAGCGTTTAAAATGATGTGAGGGAGCGCCCTGGCAGCGCTCCCGGTGTGGGGAAATAAGAGCTTGATAGGGGTGGGAAGTGGCGTTGCTTCTTCCCAGCACACGTGGAGGGTTGTGTAACGCCAGAAGTTGTGAAGGAGAAGTGAAGCGAGGTTGTGTGAGGATGTACGAGTGGTTGCAGAATCTCTCTGGTTGGAAGAGACCTTTAAAATCGTCGAGACCAACCGAGCGGTGACTGGCGTGGCCTGTCAGGTTGGTGTCACGTAGCCACCTTGCCCCGACGTTCTCCCTGCCTTGTCCCAGTTGCGGTCAGGTGGGTTAATCCCAAGAATCTGGATTTGAGCAGCCTAAAATCAAGAGCAAACTCTCTGCTTTCCACACCCTTTGGCCTCGACAGAGGTTATTGGAGGGGAAAAAGGGATTTAAAAGATGTTTTTGGTTTTGGTTTAAAGATGATTAAGATGTGGTTGTGTTTTTCTCTGGTTTCGGAATTGTGCGTAGAGAAGGAAGCTGTCTAGATTTAACTTCTTGTTTTCTGGTTGTGAGTAGGAGTTTGCAGCAGATTATGTAGATGTTTAGAAAAACAGGTATTTCATCCCTGTGGAGGGTGAACATTTGTGATGCCATTTTTCTGAAGAAAGCATCTGTCAGCCAAGGTATGCTGGTGATCAGATATTGAAGCAGAACGTCAGTGACTATGAATTCGTGACAAAAATAAGGGTTGAAGGAAGGTAATACTTATATTTTCAGTAGAAAATGGAAGCTTCTGGTCTCTTCCTTCCCCAGCTGCCTGCAGGGAGCCTGCAGCTCACTCTCTACCAGTATAAAACGTGTCCTTTCTGCAGCAAAGTCCGAGCTTTTCTTGATTATCATGGACTGCCCTATGAAATTGTGGAAGTGAACCCAATAATGAGGAAAGAAATCAAATTCTCTTCCTACAGAAAGGTGCCTATCCTGCTAGCCAATGCTGGGAGCCCTCTGGTAAGTCTTAACTGTGTTGAAAGCTTGATTTCCCCACAAGCAGTGGTTTGAAGGCTTTGTCTCAGTCATGTCTCTGCGGTTTATCACATGCAGTGTAATCTTTAGATCATCTTTTATTCTCACAAGATCATAAGATTTTTTTTCTTGCTTCATGATTTCTTATGCCTTGGCCGTATCAGAGTTTTTTGTTGGCCTTTCTTCCAAGGCATGTTGTTTGTGTAGTGACTCTAATGTTAGATTATTTAGCTTCTATCAATCCTTGTAAAGAGCATATCCTTTGTACCAGTGGTAACAGGAGCTGCTTATACCTTGTGGGAGAAAAATGAGTTCTCAAGAATATAGAATACTGAAGATTCAACTTGATTTTTTTTTTGTTTTTGTTGTTATTGCTGCATTTCTTCTTTGCTGCAAAGAGCCTAAATCCAAAACCCACTGGTATGACATGTGTACCCAACCCTGAGGTCGTCTGTTGCCAGAGTCAAAGACAAATTTCAAGTGATACTCTGAAACAATCACAGAAGAGATCTGAATGTAGGGCTGTCTTTAGACATGGAGGGACTCCTGTGGAAATGCTTGGGGTCAGAAGGAACTGCAGTGCTAACTTGGACCCTAAGCATGAAGGGGAAAAGGTTTTGAAAAATTTCTTCTTCCATCTCACCACCTTCTTTTAAAAGTTTGTTTTAATTCTGTTTTTCAGCAATTGAATGACTCTTCGGTGATCATCAGTGCAATAAAGACCTATCTCATTTCCAAGTAAGAAAATGGGGTGATGAGAGAAGGGGTGAATGTGAATGGCACTGGTGAGCTAGAGATGGAGGAGGCTTTGTCAGAGTTGGTCATAAGCATCTTGCTGAGCTTGGTCTCTGAAGCTCTGGGCGTTTGGCCCAGCTGACCTGACCCTGGCTCTGGTGGTGTGGATGGTGCCTATACACGTTGTGATGTATGTGCAGTAAAGCAAAGCTTTTACCTTCCAGAACTACTGTTTTTTTTTTTTCTTTTTTCAACCTTTGAGATTCTTTTTGCACAGAATCTGCTTAAACAGGGACTAGTGTTATCTTGGAACTAAGCTGAAGTTTAGCCAGTTAAAACATCTAGAATGAAATGAAATTGCTATGCCTGTGGCCTGTCTTCAGGTCAGTGCTACAAAGCACTTGAGAATGATAGATAGTGTTATGCCTGCAAAAATGTCTATTCTGACACAGACATAGGTATGGAAGTTAATAATAGTTATTAGCAAGTAGCTGTTCCAGTCCCTTTTTAAAACTTATTTCAGATAGAATTTGGAACCTTGTGCCCTTATTTTTAGAATAATACTTTTTAAAGAGTGTATCTTTCAATCTGTCCTTTGCTCTTGCTCATTTTTGTAGCAGCCGGATCAGATGCTAACTGTGTTTCTCTCCACAGGAGGAATACCTTAGAAGAGATCGTGTCCTTTTACCCTCCTGTGAAAACTGTGACTGACCAAGGCAAGGAGGTATTTGAGTACGGGAATAAGTACTGGCTCATGCTGGATGAGAAGGAGACAAAGCGAGTCTACCCTGTCAAGGAAGTGAGAGTGTGAGTGCTCTTAAGCTTCTGGGCTCTCCCCCCATAGGGTCACAGCCTCCCCCATATGTACTTAGAGTGGTGCATATATAAAGTCGTGCTGGTGTTTAAAACCTCGGTAGTTAGAGCGATTTTGCTGTTTTTCCTAAATAATTTGAAATTATGCCATTAAACGGCCTAGTTACCACCATCATGGTTATACTGGCCTTCAGTTGCCTCCAATTTCCTTCTTGGCCTTTCCTTTATGTCACAGAGGAATGTTGTGGAATGCTAGTTTCACTTTCTGCTTTAGCTCTTGTGTTGGGAGGAGAAGCTAGTGCTCTTAATTTGAGTTTGAGATTGGAGAAGCCTTTCCAAAGATAGTGATCCTGTGAGTGCATTTCAGAGAGTCACCAGAGCACAAGGCTGGGCAGGAGTTTTTGACACCTTCATCCTTGGTGGAACCTCTGGCCAGTGCCGCTGTGATTCAGTCTGCCTTCTGTAGCCTTGCAATTTGTACCTCATCCACTGAAAAGTCTCTTTTCAATGCTCGCAGGGAAGAAATGAAGTGGAGAAAATGGGCAGACGATTGGCTTGTTCACCTCATCTCCCCCAATGTTTATCGTACCCCAAGAGAAGCCTTGGCATCTTTTGATTACATCGTCCGTGAGGGGAAGTTTGGCACCATGGAAGGTTTATTTGCCAAGTACGTGGGGGCTCTTGCCATGTTCTTCGTTAGCAAGAGGCTGAAGAAAAGGTTGGTACCACCAGGTACACGAGAGGAGTAGTTTCTTAACCTCCTTAGCTGTGAACCCCAAATGTCAAAAAGCAGAACCTCAGTGTTTTAAACTAAACCATTTAATCCGATGCGGTAACAGCTGTACTCCTTGTACTGGAGGTACTGAACTCTGTTTCTCATCTAGGATTTAATCACTAACTGCCCCTGCACTCTCAAATACCTTCCTAATTCTCAGCCAAAGACCAGCCCATAAGATGAGAGATGACAAAAGGTTAAAGAAACAATACTCTCTTCAGTGTCTTCAGACGAATTCTTCTCTTTATCCAGGCATAACCTTAGAGATGATGTCCGACAAGACTTGTACGAAGCAGTTAATGAGTGGGTAAAAGCTGTTGGCAAACATCGACTGTTCATGGGTGGAAACCAGCCAAACCTTGCGGACTTGGTAAGGGCTTCATTCCTGCCTTTGTTGGGTGTATTACAGATTGTCCAGGTTGTACAGAGTATCTGTGTGAAACAGTTCATGCAAACATAGGCAGAGAAGGCGAGTTAACGTGAGATACGTCGTCAAGGTACTTTGTTGCCTTTGTTGGGTGTATTACAGATTGTCCAGGTTGTACAGAGTATCTGTGTGAAACAGTTCATGCAAACGTAGGCAGAGAAGGCGAGTTACGTGAGATACGTCGTCAATGTACTTTGTGCGGTAATACAATTAACACCTGACAGGGACTTAACGTCTCCAGATAAATATTTCCTAAAACGGAACCTGCACTTCCTGTCTGCAGGTTGATGTTACTGGTCATGTGGAAGCATGATAAAAGCAGATTATAAGCCTGGATTCGGCTCTGGCTCTTGAGTCCTGGTGAATAAAGCCTCACACCTGCACAGGTTTTACTACATTTGGTGCTGCTGGGGTTTCCTTTGCTGGCAGCAGTGCAGAGCAGAGCAAGATTCATCCTGCACCAGGAGTTCTCCTTGGAATGCAAGTGAAGTATTTCACACCATAGCTGCACGTAGATCCTGATGTTTCTTTTGTGTTTTGTCCTGGAAAATACGCACGTTCTTAACGACCTTTCTTGCCATTCAGCCTTCCTTGCTTATCAAGGTGGTCGAGTAGATAGTAGGACAGGCAAAGAGCCTTACTAGCTAGGCTGTTGAGACACCCTGCGCAATCCTCCGCTGCTGACGCTTTTGGTGGTGTTCTAATCTTTATCCTCTGGCACAGGCAGTGTACGGGGTCCTCCGTGTCATGGAAGGGCTGGAAGCCTTCGACGACATGATGGTTCACACCAAGGTTCAGCCTTGGTACCAGCGCATGGAAGAAGTCATTCAAAAAGCTGAAGTTGCAGTCTGATGCCAGCTGCAGCTGCCTTCCTGAAGTACTTGCATGGTAAAAAAAAAACAACAAACCAAACAAAACCAAACCCCACAACTCGAGAAGGAACGGCATTTATTTTTAAAGGATTGAATGGACTGGTCACACCTGGTGGACTGACATGAAGGCACAGAGACTGTTAGATTTAGAATATCAAGTCACAGTGAGCAGGAGGGATCCGGCTGGGTGTATGTTTGAATGTGATGCTTAGAAGCACAGGGGAAGGAATCTTGGATGCTGGTGGAAAGGAGAAGCTGCAAACTGAAGAAGGCAGCAAATAGGCTTATTTTAGGTAAGAACCATAGTCAGAGCGGGTTACTGTAAAAGCAAACCACTCCTGGCTGGTACGTGTTGCAGCCATATCTGATACGGTGGGGCTGAGTGCCGTTTGCTTTGAGCTGTCTTCCACTACTTATTCACATCATCTGAAGCGTTTTCCTGACTGAAACACTGGATACTAGTTTTTAAAGTGACAATTTTTCCTGCGATAGAATCATGTAAGCCCAGTGCTGAGGGAACTGGAGGAGAAATCCACAGTGCTGGGAGAGGCATGCTTCCTATGACAGAAACGGTGCTGCTCTCGGCAGGTTGTATGCTTTTACTCTTCCATGTAAACGGTTCTTTCAGTACGTGGTTTCTGTATGGTCCGCAAGGATAAAGGTTTGCTTCTCTCTGTGCCCTCTGTGAGTTCTTGGTTGCGTTTGGAAACACGCAGAAATCGCTAATGCAGAGCAGTTATTTGAAAGATTTCCCTTGTATGAAATCTCTCTGGAAATCAGCCTGGCTTTGTTTTGGAATGAGAAGAATTAAGAGGAGTCTGCATGCCCGGAGGATCTCTAGCTGCTCCTGCCGTGTGAGAGTAACGAAGGATTTGCTGCTGCAGGAGCCGGGTTCAGATCCATCTCTGCAGGTAACGATGTGCAGTACGAAAGTTACAGAGCTGGGCTGGGTAGAACCTGACATCTGTGGGAGTGAGAGAAATGGGAGCGATCCTCTGTGCAGCCCAAGGCGTGAATTTCCTTAATTGTCACCTTCAAAAAGTTCCATTTCCCCAGAAGAAAGGGCGGATTTTGGGGAACCTGGATTGTTGAGATGCGGGTGCAGCTGAAGCTGGTCTGTCATGCAGCTCCTTGTTCTG